GGGTGATGCCTGAGCAGGGGCTCTGTCACCAAGTCCAACTGTCAGGTGTGCCCCCAGTGGCCCTGTGCAGGACACGGCAGCCTAGGTATGTGGAGCTCTGCTATGAGCGTTTTCCGTGGACCAGAGAGGGGCCCACCAAGTTCTATCACTTGCAACACGCCATCCCCCAAGCCACCCCTGGGGGGCGGGGGCCGTCATTACATCCCATGGACAGGTGTGAACGCAGAGGCTTCCCAACTGGGTGAGCGGGGAAATGTGGCCTCAGCCCTCTGATCTTTAGGTCTACGTTGGGGTGAAGGAAACCTCATTCGCCCACGACGGGAATGATTGTGAAGTGTCTAGAATTGTGCCAGGCACAGAGAGGAACTGCAGACATGGCGCTCCAGTAATCCTATTAGAAATAATATAATGGTGACATCATCATACCTCTGTCTTTTCCCAAAGAAATCCTGATGGTGTGATGGGCTCCCCATTGAACCGCTAACCATGAGGTTAGCAGTTCAGAACTACCAGTCGCTCCAAGGGAAAAGATGAGGCTGTCTGTCCTCATAAAGACAGACAGCCTCAAAACCCCAAAGGGACAGTTCTACTCTGTCCCATAGGATCACTGTGAGTCAGAATCAACTCATTGGCAGTGAATTTGAGGGGCTTTTTTTACTTTTACAACGAGCCTGGTGGCGCAGTGGGTTTTCAGGATTGGGCTATGATTCCAACCCACCAGCTGCTCCATGGAAGAAAGGGGGCTGTCTACACACACAGATTTCCATTCTCAGAAACTCTACAGAGCAGTCTACTCTGTCCTATAGGGCCACTGTCGGTAGGAATTGACCTCGTGGCAGTAGGGTCAGTGGGTTCTGTTACTTCTAAAAACAAATTCAGTCCACCTATAACTAAAGGAGCATATGTTATGGTAAATGAGATATAAACTGGCAACAAAAGAAGAAAGCCCATAGAAGGGATTGTACATCAGTTGACTCTGAGCTTCCCAGAGATGGTAGCAAACAGACAAACATAGTTATGTTCTCGGCTCGAATTATCAGAAATTGAAAACAGGTTCGGTTCTAGGATAAAACAAATTGTTTTTTCCTGCCGCTGATAGCTACCAGTGATTTCCCAGCAAGTCTCCTTTGGAGCGTACTGAATTCTGCAGTGATGTGAGCCCTGCAGCTCGATTTGACAGACAACGCGATGTCTGTTACATATCAAGATCTAAGATTAAAACCCAGCACTTCCTACCATTGCATTAAATCCATGGTGGTGATGGGCCCTGGGGATGATGCAATATGGAAAGGTAGGTTGGCTGGGATGAGTCAGGAAGCCAGGGTTCTGGTCCCACACTGCACGGCCTTGTGCTGGTCACCTTGCTTTTCTGGTCTTCAGTGGCATTACCTACAGGCTGACAAATTGGTTTATGGTGCCTCTGATTCTCGTGTCCAGTGACCTTTGGCTAGATGAGAGGGCTTTCAAAGGTTTGTGGGAACAGTTCCATGATCTTTTCATTATTTCATTTTTCCACAAACTTTTGAAGACACCCCACCCCTCACATACCATAATTCCAAAGCCAGCTTTCTGCCCCCTTCCAAGTCAGTATTCTTCCTGAAGTGAGCCACATTCCTCCTGCCTGAGTTTTCCGGAGAACAAGCAGGTGCCAAAAGACCTGGGATTGAACACTGGATCTGGCTTGTGCACATGTGCACCTGGACACTGGGCACATCCCTTCTTCTCTCTGTGCCTCAGTGAGGGGAATTAAATAAATTCTGAAGACTTTATCCTCTTTACTCATTAGCATTCACTCACCTCACTGCTCTCAATAATGGCATTCATTTGGCTCCAGGCTGGGGGCCTTAGTTCATGTGTGGGGCCTCCTCAGTGTCAGTGCCTGCTCACCACACTGAGACAACTCAGTCCGGGGACCCATAAGCCTTTGGGCCTCTGCTTTCATGGACCACTGCATGGAACACACGTCTCACCAGATCTCTTCTCTAGGGTGGTTTGAAGCCTATTGCTTAGAAACCACTTTAAAGTCATCTCCCATCAAACCAAGCTACACATACTATGTATTAGCTCCGACAGAGCAGCATGCACTCTGACATGTTTGTCTCTTCCATCACAAATGTCCCATGAGTTTCCCAAGGTGGCCAGCTTTGCTTCAAAGCTGCCATTTATTGGTTGGACTCTCTTTTTTTAATGGGACAGGCAAGCGAGGCTCTGAATAATGAAATGATTTGCCCACACTGCTCCCCAGTGGGTGTTAGGCCTGGTATTTGAACCCATGTCTGTGTGCCTTACAAGCTCACCGTCTTCCCTCAAGTCCTGAGTATGAAGTTCTGTCTGCCTCCTGCTGAAGCCCCAGGATGGCCCTCTGCCCAAGGCAGACATGGCCTCCGGAAAAGAAGGGGGTCCTCACCAAGAAGTAGGGACTAACTTGACTTGTGCCCCTGGCGTTTCCTCGGCTCCCAGGGGCTGCTAAGAATTCTCTACTCTGTCCAGAAGGAAGGTGGGGCGAGGCCTCCACTTTAGCTTAACTTGGGGACTGTGGCCTTGAAGATTGCACACAGCGTCCAGGGGCCCGGGCTACCTTTCAGGAAATGGCACAAAGTTGGGTCCTGAAGGGTTGCTGGGGGAAGTTCTCTTGTGACCCCACTCTGTGCCCAGCCCTGCTCAGAACTGGTGAGAGAAACAGAAACCCTCTGTCCCTTCGCCAGTCCTGGGGTCCTTGCCACAGGCCAGCTTCCAGCTCATGCCCTGAAGGCTTTTGTGGCTGGTAGCACCTCCGAGGGCCTTCACTCTGAGTGCAGACAGGCAGCCTTGGCCTCCTCCAAGACTTGTCAGGCATGCAGAGCCTCAGGCCACACCCCTGACGACCTCATGCGAATCTGCCCTGTCACCCAAATCTCCAGGTCTGAGTGTGCATGTTGCAGTGCACAGGAAAGCTTGCAAAGCCTTGTTCTGTGGCAGCTCATTCTGTCTGTGCTTCAGACTTACTGAGGCAGACCTTAAGAGTACAGGTGGCCGGCTTATAAAAAACAAAGCAGATAGCTCGTATTCGTCTCCTCGTAAATGCGGCAAACCTCCCTGGAGCTCTGGCTTCGCCCAGACCAGTGCCAGGCACCAGGGACTCCCGGGCCGTCCCTGCCCTTGAGTTCAGGCTTTCATGGAGGAGACACGACCAATCAGGAAACTTCATGAAGTGTGATGAGTATCAAAGTAGACTCTCCAGCAATGGAGGAAGCCGGGAATAACGGTGCCGACCAGGTCCTGCCAGAGGTGGCCGAGGCTCCGAGGTGAGCAGGTGCTCCGGGTGAATTGAGGCCCCAGGGCATTCTAGGCCCTGAGAAGCAGTGTGGGAAATAGGAGCAGGGACTTTGGTGTCATGGAGGCCTGTGTTGGAATCCCATCCTACACATCGTGGTGTGTGGCCTGGGTCAAATCAGTTCACCTCCCTCAGGCTCGGTTTTCTGAAATAGACCTTTTGAAGGACCACCATCTGTGGTCATGTGGCGGGCAGCAAGGACACACGTGTAAAGTGCTAGCACCATCTCTGGGGCAGGGCAGCCGTCCACCAGTGGCAAGTGATCCTCCGTGTGCACTTGACATGTGCGACGGACACCCCCAGTGTACAAACCCAGACTCAGGTCCAAAGCTAAAATTTTAAGTTCAAAGCTAGACCTCTTCCTCCCACAGGTGGCTGACCAACCACCAGACCTCAAGTGTGCCTTCCAGCACAGAGGACGCAGCCACGGCGCTTGTAGACTCGCTGGGATGATCCTGGCACTGCCACCCTCTCTGGAACACAACAAGCTGAGCAACTCCCCGGGAGTGCCACTTTTCTAGGGCAGTGCAGAAAGACGGTGATCTGGAACCTCGGGGGGCGGCGGTGCAAGCAGCCAGGCCCCTACATACACACACACACACACACACATGCACCCTCACTCCCTCGGGGAGCCCACTTTTGCCAGCAGTCTGGATAGCACCCGGTTACCGTGCATAATGGGCAGATCTATGGAACCATTGTCCCTGCCTCCCTGTTGTCAGGAAAGCAGCCTGAGCAGGGCCGGCCCAGCCTGGCAGAGCAGGATCTAGAGCCAGGGCCTTGTATCTCACCAGAACCCGTGCCCTCTGCGAAGCTCACATTTGCGCTGCATTATAGGGCAAGTCTCCGGGGACCTTTCCAATAGCCAATAGAGCGTCTCGCCTTTCCAGAGGAGCTCAGTATCAGTAACGTCCATGCAAGTCCCGTTGAGAACTTTTTAAATGATGATGTCATCTGTTACAAACAAGGGCCTGCCGTGGGTAACAAACGGTGATGTCATTATACATGAAGGAGGCACCCCGGCCCTGTCCAACTCAAACCCTTGGGTCCCGTGACCAGCCCTCTCCAAAGTCGCGGAACTGTAGGCCAATGAAGGACAGCAGTGAAGCAGGGAGATTGCAGGCCGGTGGGTGCAGAGGTATGCGGAACCAGGCTCAGTGGGAGCCGGGCAGGGCACTGACAGCTGCCCACGTGAGGCCTCTCCTTGAGGCTGACACAGAGTCCAGGCAAGGAGGAAGGCAAAGGGTGAGAGAAAGAGAGTTTCCCACTGTCCCTCTGAATAAAAGGCCACGTCCCCACAGAGGCATCATCAGGATGTGAGCTGGTTCATGGGTCAGATGGCACCCCTGCCTTTCATCCACGGACAAGTTAACATTCCCTCCAACCAGCACGGTCGCCATGAGTCAGAATGGACTCACCGCACCTGGTTTGGCTTGGGCTTTTACTATGAGCTCGAAGGCACCGCACTGAACATGGGTAATAAGAAAATGGAAAACTGCATCGGCTCCCCAGTGTCAGACTGGTGTGGGAGACAGATGCAGAAATAATTAGCCACAGCACTGTTTCCGTATCCTCGACGCTGGATGTGCCCCTGGAGCATGGGGGAAACGTCAGTGGTTTACTAGAAAAGGCTCCCTTAGAACCAAGGCCTGAGGAATGAGCAGACAGATGTTCGCTTGGCTGGCAGCGTAGGAGCCAGGCAGGGCCCAGACAGGAGCAGCAGGCACCCCAAGATGGGCAGTGCAGTCTGAGGGACAGGTCCTCGCCTGAGCTGGAGTGTCGGCCGTCCGGAGGAAATGGCTGGGAAGAGGCTGAGGAGACTAGAGTCCCCCAGAGTATGAGAGACTGTGTGCTGCCGGGCCAGGGACGCTGAGCTTATCCTAGAAGAAATGGGGGTTCCTAGATGGGAAACCACAGAAATGATGTGCTGGTATGTGGACCAAATCCAGGGGGTGACCCTGGAGAAGACCCAGACTGTAGTCAAAGTGCTGATGTTCCCATTGTATTAGGCCTAGAGAGGCAGCCGGTTGGACAGCTAGAGAGAGCGATGGTGTTGATCATGCCAGGTAAAATACAAATCCTGCTCGCTAGACTTTGTTGATTCCCTTAGTCGCATTTCCGAGGGCAGTGCTGGTGCTCTAAACACTGCTTCCTCGGCCGTTGCAGCCCCAGCACTGTCTGTGTCCACCGTCCAGTGACAGCACCAGCCAAGCAGTCTGAAGGCAGAGAGAATCCTTGCAATCCTAAGACTTCCCAGAAACTTGAAGGGCCTAATAGATGTTCAAGCCAAGCGCCAAACCCACTGCCCTCAGGCACATTCTTACTCTCAGCCACCCTATCAGACACGGTAGAACCGCCTCTCGGGGTTTCCTGAGACTTTAAGTGGAGCCGCCTCAGCAGTCTCCCAAGAAGTGACTGCGGGGTTTGATCCGCTGACCTTGTGGTGGCGGGGTGGATGAGGTGTTGGGCTGCTCACCACCAGCCACCCCCCAGAAGAAAGAGGTTTCTTTCTACTCCCATAAAGGTTGACGGTCTGAGAAACCCACAGGGACAGTTCTGTGCCCCTAGGGCCACTGTGTTGGAATCAACTGTACGGCAGGGAGTTGTTGAGGTTTACGCAACCAGGAAATGGCAGAGCTAGGAAGCCAGAGCCACCCAAACCCCCAGGCCCAACATCTGTGCATCTCCCCATCATAAAGCTGGAGACCTTGGGTCACCCTGAGTCAGGCGACTCCATGGCAGGAGGTGTGGTTTCAGGTCGGTGGCAGCTAGCGATGGGACCTTGTCCCCTGGATGCCTCTGTGTCATGCTGATCTAACTGCTGTTTTGTGTCTCTTTCCTCGGTTGTGGCTGCAAATTACAAACTAATCCTGCCATTTGTCTATACCTGTCTGACATCCGGAGCGAGACTTCCGGACTCCTGATGAATATATCAGGAGTAGCGACAGGAGACGGTGTTGGCACCCACTGGTAGTCAGCTCCAGCCAGGGTCTCACTGGGCAGCCCTGCGGTGGGCTTGGGTGGTGCTGGAAAAACCCGGAGTGGAGAAGGGTGTGTGCTTTGACTCCTGAAGGATTTGGGGGGTGGGAGCGTTTGGTTTTCTTTTTCCTCAATGCCCTTCATGCTGTGGGCTTGAATTTCGAGGCCGTGTGGAAACTCGTCAATGATCACCTTTGTAATAAAACACACAGTGAGCGTGCGACGTGGGCCCAGTGCTGTGACTGGAGGCCTGATCGTGGGCAAGAGGCCACTGTGGCAGTGGTTGGCGGGAAGGAAGCATCAGACCAACCACTGTGCTGAGAAACTGGGGGCACGATCACGCAGCAAGGGACATCATCTGGCATCCCGTTGGTTGCGTGGCTCCTAAGGGGGCGGGGCTGGGGGTTGGACCTGAGAGCTGGACCACCTACAAATACCGGTCGGGAAGGGAGCCCGTGCGCATCACGTGCCGTGTCTTTGTTTTCCAGCCACAGCCCAGCGCACAAATACTACCTGACCACGGACCCCATGAGCGGAGCCGTCTTCCTTTCAGACACCAGCAGCCGGCGGGTTTTCAAGGTCAAGTCCACGGTGGTGGTGAAGGACCTCGTCAAGAACGCTGAGGTGGTCGCGGGGACAGGGGACCAGTGCCTCCCCTTTGACGACGCGCGCTGCGGGGACGGCGGGAAGGCCACAGAAGCCACCCTTACCAATCCTAGAGGTACCGCTTGGTTTTTGACACGTTCCCAGTAGCAGAGGTCGGGGAGCTTCCCACATCCAGATGAAACACACGCTCATTCATGTTTGCAGCCGCCAAACATGGAACACAGAAAGTCCACATGTCCACATGCTCACCCTCCCAGAAGCCCCTCCAGTTGACATTTCTTGCCTCCCATCTTCGTCTTGTTTTAAATGTTCGCGTATGTCATGGCCACTGGTCCGCACAAAATGAAGCCTCACGGCACAAACACTTGAGTCACCTGCTCGTGTTTGTAAGCAGTGTGTGTGTTGTGGGTGTTTCCCTGTGCCACCCGTCAGTCTCGTGTGGGTGGTCTCCATCGTCTGTAGGAGTTCAGTGTTCCATCAGACAGATGTACCCCGGTGTGTCCATCAGGCCTCTCCTGCTGGATTTCTGCACCACCTCGGGGCTGTGTGTGAGGCATGGGTGTCTCATCCCCACACACTCACGAGTGCTTTCGGATGGATTGACTAAGTTTCCATCACGGCTCCTTCAAAACCTCGGACCTGCTCACACCCTCAGCCAGAGTCTCTCTGAACCCGGACTTAGCACACAGTGTCTCTCTGAACCCAGACTTAGCACACAGTGTCTCTCTGAGCCCAGACTTAGCGCACAGTGTCTCTCTGAACCCGGACTTAGCACACAGTGTCTCTCTGAACCCAGACTTAGCACACAGAGCTTGTTCAGATCGCACAATAAAGGAGGCAGGAAGGAGTATGGCTCTAGGATAAGGGACAGAGGGAGAGAGATGCCAGAAGGAACCACACCTGGCGGTGCAGGAACCAGAGCGCCCCCGGTGGCCGGGAAGGCGCTGCCAAGGACGCCCAGCAGACCCCTGCATGCATGGACGACCCGCCCTGCGGTGCAGGCTCTGAGGGCACAGATCAGACCCAACAGCCAAACCTGGCAGGCGAGATTTGGGCTTCAAAGACAGGTGACCCTAGGGGAGTGGTCCCTTGTGGAGCTAGGGGGACCTCGGATAGGAGTCTTGGATCGGGGGGCATGGGGGTGGGATAAGAGATCTGTGTTGTGAGGGGGAGACGAATGCATTTCACCTGATACCCTATAGACAGAACTACAGCAAGTGGCTGCCCCAGATTGCAGCCAGTGGAGGCAAAGCAAAGCAGGAGATGCTGCAGGCAAGCCAGCAGTGCCGTATTTAAATTCGGACTTTTGCCTGGTTGTAACTGCGACACTGAACCAGTGTTTCACCTCCTTGAGCCTCGTTTCCTCATCTCGGATGGAAGGGCAGACTGGTAGTGCAGCGGTGAAAGCTCTCAGCTGCTGGCTGAAAGGCCAGTGGTTCAGCCCGCCCTGCTGCTCCACAGAAGGAAGAGGTGGCAGCTGCTGTCGAGAAATACAGCCCTGGAGACCCCCAGGGGACAGCCCTGTTCTGTGCGACGGCGTCCTTGCCAGTCAGAATGGGCCCAATGGCCGTGGGCCGGTTTTGGCACGGTCGTAACTCACTGCCACTGAGTCAATTCGGATGCACGGGGACCCTGCACAGGGTCTCAGAGATGGTGTAAGTCTTCCCAGAAGCAGACAGCCTCATCTTATTCTCGAGGAGCTGCTGGTGGGTTTGAACTGCCAGCTCTAGGATTAGACAGGGGGATGGCTGATCACTGCCAGGGCATCATTGTCATACAGATTAAATACTCTCAGGCAGGGGGTGCCAGGCACAAAGTCAAGGTCTCCGTGGCTGGTGGCTCCCACGAGTGTGGAGAGAGTGGAGTGGTATCTTCTGTACCACTCTCCTGGAAGAGTATGGCTCCCGTGGTTCACCTCCCACCTGATGTTGGGCTCCCAAGCCTGACAGCGTGGCCTGTGGTGAAAAGAGCCTTTGGAATGAAGGGCCTGCGTGATGCATCTCCTCAACCATGACTGTTCCTTCCTGCTCAGAGAGCAGGCTGGCCTGCCTGGACCAGCTGTCCCTAAGTGAGATACTCAAATCCCAGAGGACTTACCATAGTACTTCATGTCACTACATACATGTGGCTCTGAAGTAAAAGTGAACGTTTTTAAAGGATATTATTCTCATCATGGCGATTCCATTCACTTGTCAAAATATGTTTATGGCTCTCAAGTAATGTTCCCCTGGTTGTGATGGGCAGGTTGGCCGGACCCCCGGCCTCGGTGACTACCAGGCTGCTCTCACGTACAGTGTGGCTGCTGATGATTCAAACCCATTTTCCTCTGAGATGTCTAGTTTCTCCAGACTTGCCCCAAGTGTTCACACACGGCTCTGTTTCCACCCCAGTTCTGCCTGTTTCCTTGCTCCCCCCTTCCTACTCCCTCCTTCTCTCCAATCCACCTCTCTCTCTCTCTCCCTCTCCCACATGCACACACACATACACGCACGTTAGCACTGTGAAATTGCCCCAAAGCCTATAACTAACCCGAGAGAAGTGGCAAGGCCGCCACAAAGTGCAGACATGTCTCTGTATTGAGGGAAAAGGGTGCCCATCCATTGAGCACAGCAAAGGGCGACAAGAAGTACTATGGTCAGTCCCCTGGGATACAGCCATCCCACTGATGGACGTCAGTCTGCCCTCACTCTGAAACTACTGAACCAGCCCCGACTCCCAGCTGCTTCTTCACCACCGCTGCCGCCACCTTCTCTCGCTGCACGTGCAGCCTTTACAGCACTGAGAAGGCTTCCAGCCGTTGGTCGCACGGACCAAAACACCCTCTGCCATCAGTCCGGCTTCGGAGCCTGGACAGCTTTCTAAGAGCACACGGCCTCATCTTCCCGCTCGGACTGGCTGGTGGGTTTGAATTGCCAAGTGGTGTGGTTAGCAGCCCGGTGCTTAATCCACGGTAGCACATGGACCCTCAGGCTAACAGAAACCCTCACATACCTGTTCTGGCTCACCGATGTCTGATGTCCGTGTGACCGACCACTCAGGCATGTAGCTCGGAGTCGGCCACCATTCCTCAGGGCACGCCCACCAACTTGGTACAGAAACAGCGCAGTTGTGCACGGAGCTCCCATCAGCCCCAGCAGATGGAATAGGACGATAGGGCATCACTGAACAGACAAGAAAACCCCTGTCTTGGTACTTAAAGAGTATCATCCATGGAAAGTCTAGGATGGGGTAGACAAAGCCTTCCCCAGCCATGGGGCAGCAGGCCCCTCAGTTTAAAATCCCTTCCCAGCACTGCTCAGCCTGGGGAGAGGGCAGAGGGACCGGCTGCTGCCTTCAGAGGCTCCTCATTCAGGCTGCCCTGGTGCCAGTCTATCTGAGGCCACAATGCTGGCCAGTGGGGGCCACATGGGCCCGGGAGTAAGAGCCTCACAGCTCACGGAATGCTGTTCACGGTCTAATCATGATCATAAGCAAGTGTAATCCCTGAAGGCAAACTATCCCAAGCCAGATGTTTATGATTTCCTGCTTACTGATGAGTAATCTGGCATAGAAGGGCAGAAGCCATTTGCCCAGATTTATACAGCTGGAAAGCTTTGTAACCCATGTCTTGGGTTGCCACCTCTGTGAAGCCTTACTCTTTTGATCCCTCACTTCTCGACAAACTGGGCAGAACAGAACTGACCAGAGCGTCCTTTCTGTCCCCAGAAACTCACTCTCACTGGCTCACTCCCTGGGCCACTGCCCATGGTACACACTCTTCCCTCTGTCCCGGTAGGGGCACATCCCCTCTGTCCCTCAGCCCCAGCACCCACAAGTGCTGAGGGAGGAGTGTGCCTAACTCATGGGACAGAAATCATTGTCACCCGCGAGTGTTTCTAAAAACAGCCCCCTCCCCTGAACTGGACCATTAGGTAACATCATGATAACTGGATTGACGATGGAAGTTGTCAAGGCTTTCGTCTTGCTGGAACCCACAATCGGTGCTCATGGGAGCAGCAGTCACAGGATCGAACGGCACACTGCATGGAGTCAGTCTGCTGCGCAAGACGTCGCCCAAATGTTGAAAAGCAAAGATGTTACTCTGAGGACCGAGATGTGCCTGGCCTTTTCAGTCTCCTCTTCCACATGTGAAAATTGAGTGCCGAATAGGGAAGAGCAAAGAAGAGGTGATGCACTTGAAATTATGGTGTTGGGGAAGAATACTGAACGTACCATGGACGGCCGAAAGAACAGATCGGTCTTCAAAGGTGTACAGCCAGACTGCTCCTTGGAGACACGGGAGGCAAGGCTCCATCTCACGTACGTACGTTGGATGTGTTGTCAGGACGGACCGGTCCCTGGAGAAGGACATCATGCTTGGTAAAACAGAGGGAGGCCTTTGACAGGATGGATGGACTCAGTGGCCGAAGCACTGGGCTCAAACCTCAGCACAACTGTGAGGCTGGCGCAGGACCGGCCTTCTGCTGTGCACGGGTCACTGTGGGCCGGAACCCCCTCGACAGCACCGAGCAACGGCACCCGCTGACTCAGTACTCCCCAGAAGTAAAGCCAAGCAGGCCTGCTTCCAAAATAGCCCTCAGACTACTCGGCCACTGGCAGAGGTTGGACTAGAGTGGCCTACACACAGTCACCTGCAGAGCCTGTCACAAGGACACCTAGTTAGCTGCTCCAGCTCCACCTGAGGTGCTCTAGAGCAGCGATTTGGAGGGAACGTTAGGCAGCTCCCCTGGGGATTCTCCAACACATCCCCGAGGGGAGAACGCTGAGGCCGGGGAGCCCCTTCCTTGCAGAGCGGAGGAAACCCCCCAGAGACAGACACTCCAGGACTTTCCCCGGGTCCCACAAGCCAGGACAGGAGAGAGTCTGTGGGTTGTGCGTGGGACCACCTCAGAAGGTGAGCAGGGAAGACGGTGTTGAGCAATAACTTGGACTTCCCTCTCTAAGGTGCCTTTTAAAGTCAACACTATTCTCCACACGCATCCATAGAATCGCTCTAGGCTCCGTACTTGTGGAATGACCGATGAAACTTAAATAGTAAGAAGAGAAAAATAGGAAGGTTGGGTTTTTTTTAATCTGGACAGGAAAGTTTGTTCCCCAAAAGGAGATCGGATCGTGACAATTACAAGGCTTCAGACGGAGTTCAATTTCAAAAATTCAGTGTTGCTGGTGAAAAGGATTTGCCTTACCACTGCCAGAAGTTGTAAGCCCTTTTTGTGTTTGTTTTGCTGTCATCCGGATGAACGTTTGCAGAAAGTGGCTTTCCCATCCAAGAACCCGGACACATTTTGATCCATGACGTTGACTGCAAACCGCACACTGTCCCCGCTCTCTGCCCACCCGTGTGCTCTGCCGCTCTTTGTCCTTCTTCCCCCGTCCCTTCCAGACTTCTGAGCCGTATCCTGTCCTTCTTTCCCCGTCCCTTCCAGACTTCTGAGCCGTATCCTGTCCTTCTTCCCCCGTCCCTTCCAGACTTCTGAGCCGTATCCTGTCCTTCTTCCCCCGTCCCTTCCAGACTTCTGAGCCGTATCCTGGGGCACAAGCTGCCTTTTTGACCTGTACGGTTGATTGTTCTAAGACAGGTTTCTAAACTGATTTGGCCTACCTACTGCCCCTTTTTCAGAAAGGAAGTTACTCAGCATCCCCCTGGCAATTAAAAGCATTAGTACAAAGGCCCACAATCCAGGATAAAGTCTAAGTGTCTGCACTTGCTGCCCCATGAAGCATTCCAAGACCACCCGGGGATGCTAGGGCCCACGTTGGCAAAGACTGTGCCATGGAGTGGCCCCTGTTCCACACACTGAACACACGCAAGCAGTCTGTGCTGGTGGCGGTCACCCTTTGGGCCAGTCTGGTGTTTGGCCAGCAGGGAGCAAGATGAAAGGGCCCCATGCCCTGGAGAATCTGAAAGCCTGGGTTCTCACTCTTGTTTTGAAGTCACTCAGAGTTTCATCTCTAAAACGGGGGTCAATGTAAGCAGTGGGGACCCCACTGGCCCCACAGAGATGTCCCACTCACACACAACAGCCCCATAGGTCAGGGTGGCGCTGCCCCTGTGAGTGTTTGAGACGGTAACTTCTCGGGAGTGAAGTGCTGTAGGGAGGTGCCAATCCCATCGCAGGAGGGCAGGCGCTGAGCAAACTGAGCGTGGGAGCTGGTGTCTCCTCTGCCGCCTCACCCCCGCCCTTGGCTTCTCCTCCTCCAGGCATTACGGTGGACAAGTTTGGACTGATCTACTTTGTGGATGGCACCATGATTAGACGCATTGATCAGAACGGCATCATCTCCACCCTCCTGGGCTCCAACGACCTCACGTCAGCCCGGCCCCTCAGCTGCGATTCTGTCATGGACATTTCCCAGGTGAGGAAAAGCCGCCCTGCGCCGAGTGTTCATGTTTGCACTGCGCACACCGCGTGACACACACACCACGCTCCAGAGGCGACCAAGACCAACAGGTGGGGGCGGGGGGCGGTGAATGTGATGGAGGCCAGGGGCCAATCCAAACTGCCTGCCAGCAAGTCAGTGCCAACTCCTGGTGACTCCATAAGATAGGGTAGAACTGCCCCGGCAGGTTGCTAAGACTGACTCTTTGCAGGAACAGAAAACCCTGTCTTTCTCCCATGGAGGGGCTGGTGGTTTCAAACTGCTGACCTTGAGGTTCACAGCCCGACGCATAACCACTACACCACCAGGGAAGCGATGTAGACATCTCTCGAAGGCAGCCCCACAGGCAGCAGGCAGAACAGCAAGGTCTTTGGCAGGGAACGGGGTGGGTTTGGATGCACAGCCACTGAATTTGTAAAGGTTGCAACACAAGTACCTAGAGTGAGTGCCTGCTCTCTTCTAAGACTGTGATTAGTGGAAGGCAAGAATTGGGTCCGTCTTCCCTCTCTGTAACCATGGGGCCTGGCACACAGGAACAGCTCGGTGAGCATGCCTAATGGATGGGTGGTCTGGCTGAACCCGACCTCTGCCCCTCACTCGCTGAGCACCTTTGGACACGTTTCTGAAATCATCTGAGTCTCACTTTTCAGACCTGTAAACTAAAAACCATTCACACCAACCCCAAGGGATTGCTTTGAGAATAAACAATGCAATTCGTGTAAGGCTCGGAGCGCTAGCAGACACTCTAGTGTCCACATTCACAAAGGGGCCATTTGTGCCAGGTGTGGACAGTTGAATAGGAGGTGTCTGGGTGAGAAAGGGAAAGCGACATTCGCGGCAAGCAGTGTGCGAACTTTGGAACACAGAGATGTCAGTGGGCCTGGTGCATTCGAGAGACACTGGAAAGGTCAGTGCTGGAGCGTGGGGTTTGCAGAAAGAATGAGGAACATGTTTGAGGCCCAGTTAGAGGGGTGTCTACCAGAGTTTGGCCCTTTGCTGGTGGACCCCAAGGGAGGCATGAGTGGCTGGCTGACCAGGGCGTCCTTGGAATACCCTGCAGTGGCTTGGCAAGGGTTGTGTCCCCTTTTGCTTTGGCAGGGCCTAATCTGAATCCATTAACGTCCAGCTCGCCCACATTAGGAAGACCAGGGAAGCAGGCGGCTTGAATTACATCCATCAGGGATGAGGCTCAGCTCCTGCCACACTTAGCTTTGCCATCCTGCCTCCCTGGGTTCCCGAGGGAGCGTGCACTCACAGTCCCTTTCCACCACCTGAGGTGGTGCCTGCTCCCTGCTGCTCAGCAGGCAGCGGAGGCTTGGAGGGGGGCTCTGTTCTTGACACCATGCCCCAAGCCCCTCCCCGCAGGGCCTCCCACGGCTGCTCTTGGCGATCCCAGTTACCCATGTCACAGCCCTGTGAGCTGCTGGGGCAGTTTCCCCCGAGCCAACTAACATGATTGTTCCGCTCCAGAATAGAATCTGTTCTCTGCCACTTGTCTCTCCAATTTGGCAGGCGTCTCTGTGCTGGCTGGCAGCGTCCCTCTGCCGTCTGGGAACACGCTTGAATTACGGAGGATGTGCATGCGAGGGTTTCCTGTTGTCAGGACGGGCCGCCACCAGCCAGCGCAGGGCGCTGCGCATCTCCCACCAAACAACCGGCTCCACAGAGTCGGCAACCTGGCACTGAGATCCCAAGGCACCTGGCCCTCGGGCCGCCTCTGGCCTGAACCGAGGCTTGGATTGCTCCCTACCACACCCTCCAGCACAGGCCTGGCCTTTTGCACACACAGACGGGCAGGGGAACCCGGCTCTCTTCCTCAGCACTTTCTCTGTGACAAATGCCTAGCTGCTTGACTGGCCCGCATGGAGCAGGAGAAACCACTGCGTAGCGCAGAGGGTTCGAGTGCTCACTGCTAATGGAAAGGCCAAAGGTTCAAGTCTGCCCCGAGGCCCCAGGAGCTCTGCCCTGGCCATTTGAAAACCCTAAAGAGCGTAGTCGTGTGTGCGCACACTAGGGGCCACCAAGTGATGGAACAGATTCTAGGGCAACTGGTTCGAGTTTATGGGGCAGGAGAGGTGAGCCAGAGGGCGACTGAGCGAGGCTTTTGCAGGGACGCAGCTCGGAGGCTGGAGTGCCAAGGGGAGAGCCTGCGCCCCAGGGACCTGCGGCTCTGTGGGGAGACGGAGACCAAAGAGCAAGAAGAGGCTGCAGCTGGTGCAGAACGAGTAGGGTCTCAGCATCCCCGGGGCGTGGTGTCCCCCGCAGACACACAGACAGTTGGGAGACATCCGGGTCCCAGATGATGGCCAGACACTGAGCATGTGCCAGGTTGGAATGTTGGAATTGGCAGTACATCGATGAGTACAGCTTCCATTTGCTTAGGTCGCTGTCTTACAATGGGTCGGATCAGAGTCCCCATCACCCTGTGGGGTTGATGTTCCTGAGAGTCTGACCCACTTTACAGAGAAGGAACCTGTTCCTGTTTCTTTATAAGTGCAGAGCCCTGTCCTCCATCAGGAGTGAGGAAGTGAATTTCTTAAGATCCACACAGACAAGCACACACGTGGTCCATTAGAGTACCTGATAAGCCAACCAAAAGCAAATTCACTGCCATCGAGTTGATGCCAGCTCACAGCCACCCTACGGGCCAGGGCGAACCCCGTGGGTTTCTGAGACGGAAGTGGAAGCCCGTGGTCAAACTGCTGCCACTGTGGTTAGTTAGCCCACCTTGCAGCCACCACGTCACCAGGGCCTGGTAGCTCATAATCAACCTGCTTCCTCAAGTTAATTCTGACCCGAGGGGAACCTATAGGACAGAGGAAACGGCCCCTGTAAGTTGCCAAAGCTGTGATTGTTAAGGGAATAGGAAGCCTCATCTTTCTTCTGTACAGCAACTGATGGATTCGAACTGCTAACAGTGTAGTTTGCAGACCAAGTTGTAACCCACTACTCTACCAGATCTCCAGTCCTGCATTGTCAATGTCAGTCTTCTTTACAATTTGGAAGGAACTTGATTATCTTGGGCTTGTTAAAGCCACACAACTGCCCTATGTAAAATTCCTTACCTCCTTTTCCCTCGGAGGAAAGACGATCCGAGTGCACAGGGAGTGAGATCGCACTTGTAGTTATGGCTGAACAGGGCTAGGAAGTGGGACCGCCTGAGCCCACATCCCTCACTGTCCCTCTGTGATTCCCCATTCTGTCATCTGTCCACTCCCTGGACAGTCCGCTTTTGTTAACAGAGATGGCTGCAACAAGGGGGTCTGCTCCGTGCTTTCACAGAAGTGCAAGACACTCTGGAAGGACAAGAGGGGAGAGCCTTTCCACAGTGGGACTATAGGATGTGGAAGATGCGAGATTAGTAAGTCTAGTCCCTGCTCCAGACTGGCCTCCCTGCCATCGACTCGATTCCAACACATAGCAACCGTATAGGGCAGCGGTTCTCAACCTGTGGGGCTGCGACCCCTTGGGGGGGCGTCGAACAACCCTTTCACAGAGGTTGCCCAATTCATAACAGGAGCAAAATGACAGAGATGAAGCAGCAACAAAAATAATATTATGGTTGGGGGAGGGGCGGGCACCACAACATGAGGAACTGTATAAAAGGGTCATGGATTAGGAAGGTTGAGAACCACTGGTATAGGGCAAAGTAGAACTGCCCTTCTGAGACTGTAGCTCTTTGTGGGACCAGAGAGCTTCTTCTTTCTCCCACAAAGCAACGGTGGTTTCAAACAGTTGACCTTATGGTTAGCAACCCAACGCCTAACCCACTACCCCACCAGGCTCCTGCTGGGATTGGTGTTGGAGTCTTGAAGCCGCAGCATGGTGGTCACTGACAGGGAGGGCAAGTCAGAGACGTCTGTCGCTTGTCTGGCCTCCCGGATCTGCAGTGACACAACCAGGGTGTCAGGCCTTGTCCAGGTGACTGGACAAGCAGAGCTCCTTCCCCTTTCCCAGAATGCCTTCGAGCTGTGGGCCTCCAATGGAGAGAGGGAGAGCAGGGATCACTGGCTGCTCATTTCTCCCGCCCTCTCTATTCCCTTCCTCCTTCCACTCACCCCTCCCTGTGCTCCCCACCCCGGGCCCATTATTCACACCATAATGACAGGCAGAAAGGTCTCTGCAGTTAGGTCCCCAAGGTGCCGTGGGACCACAGGGCATAAAATATTTAGCAGCCAGTGTTGACAAGAAATGGGTTTTAGAATGGAAAATCCCACTGTCACTTTAAACGGGGTTCCTGATGCAGCCGGGGCTGCCGCGACACTCTTCTCCAGAGCACCGGGGAGAGGCCCAGCCAGCCGCTCCACTCAGGAGCACCTGCAGGCCTCTGTGGCCCTCTGACGCACGGGAGTCAGGCTTGGAGGAGCGAGGGAGTCCGGGGCTTGAGGAAGGGCATCTCGAGGAGGCCCGACTCTGAGGAAACAGTAGGATGTGCCCCGTCCTGTCCTGAGAAAGACCCGGAGCTAAAGGAGCAGATGGCAGCAGCTCCATGGTGTGTGTAGATAGTTCACTGTGGTCTCTTTGCACGTTCAAGAAATACCACCGTACCCTTTGTTTTGAGGTATCTAAATTTTAGAAATCACGAGAAGACCCACAGCACTACCTTGAATCTCCTCCCCCATTTTGGCCTGTTATCTGGAAAGGTTCCTAACCTCCTCTCCACCCCTACCCTCACTTATTGTGGGGTTTCTCCTCAATGGAGACCACCCCCAACCCCCAGTGGTATGATTTTCTTTCTTCACATCATTCCTCACCAATACTTTCCCGGGTCATTGAAGGTCACATCCATCACACCACGGTTCACGGCCACACAGGATTAAAGCCAAATGGGCTGTCATTTATGCAGGCACTTTCATGTCATCGTGCACCCTCACCAAGCGTGGCTGTGAGAAACCCTCTTGCAGGCAGGGGTGGGGCCAGAGTCCATTCCTGAAAAAGGAGATGCTTCGCTGAAGGCGTGCACGCGCTCCGTAGGCCCCAACCTTGACAGACAGCGGAGGGTGTGCAGGGGCTCAGGGACCCTAAGGTGGTGAGACTCGAGGGATAAGGTAGACAGGTAAGCCCTAGGCAGCACCTGTCAACATAAGCGCACGTTTCTTCCTCACTCTGGCCATGTGCAGTGGGACTAGGCTTCTTGGGGACACAGCTGGCAGCGTACTTCCCTAACTGCTAACACCTGTCACTGTAATCGCTCCAGCAACCCCGCCACCTGAAGGCTCACCTGTGGGCTTCTCCATTTCCCAGCCCTACTCAGCAGGTTCAGACAGTGGTCCCAGGGCCAACTTCACTGAATCCTTCCCAGAAGACCAGCCCTCTGAGGCCCTAGAAACCCCATAATCCAGAGCAAACAAACCTCAAACTCGCTGCCACTCATAGTGACCCTACAGGACAGAGTAGCACTGTCCCTGTGGGTTTCTGAGACTATCGCTCCACAGGAGTAGAAAGCCTCATCTTTCTCCCATGGAGGGGCTGGAGGATTTGAACTGCTGACCTTCAAGTTAGCAGCCCAACACATAACCCGGACATTGGCTTGTGTAGGGGTCATATGATGATCATGTTAAGATGTAGTCTCTGATTCATTAGGCCTTGAGTGAGACCTGGGAGGCCATGTTTCTAGCCAGCTCCCTGCAGGGGAGACCAGTGCTACATTCCGATCGCGGCTGCGCAGGGAGCACTTGTGATTCACAGCCCCACGTGAGAATCACAAGGGCGTGGGGGCATGCTAATGGCTGACCCTCCCACACAGGGTTCTGGTTTTCATCGGTCCAGGGTGGCACTCTCAGATAAGTACTGGACTGCTAACCACAAGGTCAGTGGTCCAAGCCCACCAGCTGCTCCTCAAGAGAACATGCTGGCTTGCTGCTCCCAGAAAGATTTACAGCCTCAGAAACCCTGCAGAGTAGAGTCAGGTTGCCATGAGTTGGAATTAACTCGATGGCAGTGGGGTTGGGGTAGGACTTAAGCACTAATATTCTCTAAAAATCTCTGTGAGCAATGAGAATGTGGCGTCACATTCGATAATCACTGGCCAGGGGTGTCTCCGGCACAGAGCTGTGTGCTAATCCATGAACGCAAGGAACTGAGGGATGATCTTTCATGTATCAGCTCAGAAACGCATGAGAGAGGCTTCAAAGCCAACTCACTGCCACCGAGCCAGTGCTTTCTCACAGCCACCCTCTAGGGCAGGGTAGACCTGCTCCTGTGGGTGCCCAAGGCTGGGCCTCTTCCCGGGAGTCGAAAGCTTCCTCTTTCTCCTGAGGAGCAGTTACCGGTTTGGAACTGCTGACCTTGTGGTTGGCAGCCTATTGCAGAACCACAGTGCTCCCAGGTCCAAAGTCTCTGGGAATACCTGTGTCAGTCCTCAGACTGAAGCCACCTGCCTTCACTCCCACCTCCCCAAACAAGCTGCCATTCCTTGAGCAGCTCCTGGGAGTCAGGGACTCTGCCCTGTTATCAATCCTGTTTAACAGGCAACCGTCCTGAGGCTCAAAGTGCTACAGCAACCCCTCGGTGGTGCAGCTAGGATCTGAGCCCAGCCTACCTGACTCCATAGCCCATCCTCTTTTGTACACTGTTGTTGGGGTGACTGTCACCACGTCTTCATGCCTCACCAATCAAATGAGACCAAAAGGGGCCCGGGTGTTTGCCATGGCCAGGTTTCAGTCTGATCACGGAGTGGATGGTAGTGCTGTGAGTGTATGTGACAACGCTGTGGGCACCAGGTGTCGGATGATGCGCAGTGGGTACCTTGCCAGTCATCTGAGTGTTGGTTCTTCCATTGTCAGGTCCGCCTGGAGTGGCCCACAGACTTAGCCATCAACCCAATGGACAACTCTCTCTACGTCCTCGACAACAACGTGGTCCTACAGATCTCTGAAAATCACCAGGTGCGCATCGTCGCTGGGAGGCCCATGCACTGCCAGGTCCCTGGCATCGACCACTTCCTGCTGAGTAAAGTGGCCATACACGCCACCCTGGAGTCGGCCACGGCCTTGGCCGTCTCACACACCGGCGTCCTGTATATCGCTGAGACTGATGAGAAAAAGATCAACCGCATCAGGCAGGTCACCACCAATGGCGAAATCTCGCTCGTCGCTGGGGCCCCCAGTGGCTGTGACTGTAAAAATGATGCCAACTGTGATTGTTTCTCGGGAGATGATGGGTATGCCAAGGATGCCAAGCTGAATACCCCATCCTCGTTGGCCGTGTGTGCTGACGGGGAGCTGTACGTGGCCGACCTTGGGAACATCCGAATCCGCTTCATCAGGAAGAACAAGCCTTTCCTCAACACCCAGAACCTGTATGAGCTGTCCTCACCCATCGACCAGGAGCTCTACCTGTTTGACACCAGTGGCAAGCATCTGTACACCCAGAGCCTGCCCACGGGAGACTACCTGTACAACTTCACCTACACCGGGGACGGCGATGTCACACTCATCACAGACAACAATGGCAACATGGTCAATGTCCGCCGAGACTCGACGGGGTTGCCCCTCTGGTTGGTGGTGCCAGACGGCCAGGTATACTGGGTGACCATGGGCACCAATAGTGCACTGAAGAGTGTGACCACCCAAGGACACGAGTTGGCCATGATGACGTACCATGGCAACTCCGGCCTTCTGGCGACCAAGAGCAATGAAAATGGATGGACGACGTTTTATGAGTAAGTATCAAGTCAGTCCATTTGCTGATTGAGTTTCATTCATTTCTCCCAGGAACTGATAAGTTGGGGGACTGTGAATTTGGGGGCATGCTTCATTTTAATTCAGGATTTGGGAGGAGCAGTATTGTTGATAAGACGCTTCCTATGTTCCTATCCCAGATGGCCCCCCTCCCCCACCACACCTAGGAAGGAGCCTGATGTAGTAGAGAAGGCCTGAGCTTCGAGCTAGAAGAGTTGAGCTTGCGTCCTTGCTCTGACCCCCTAAGTCTCCATCTCTACATCTGTAAAATGGGACCTGTGGATACTTTCCCAGCCTACCACCGGGAAATAAAATCACTGTCCAGAACTGTAACAGTGGAGGAAGGCACCGTTCCATTTCAGTGGATTTCCCACATCATCATGCTGTCACGTGAGGAGAATATCCGAAAGCACAGAAAGCGGGCATAGAACCCTCCAGCCTCACCCCTGTCTAAAATGCGTCTAACCCCCTCTCATCAGTTCCTGGGTCTAACTGGTTTAGTTTGACCACCTTCCCTCGGTGTTGTGCTGCTGCATCACGATTCTTTGTGTCCGAGCTGGAATAATTCACTAGCCTGCTCCACATCCAGTGAGGCACTTCTTAAACAGGATCGCCAGGAGAAGCAGAAGTCCAGCTTACTATGATTAAATAGGTATTTATTTATGTAAAACAAATATATGTACATATACACTGCCATGCATCAGTGTCCACGCTGCAGTCTGTGGAGGTGAACTAGTCTGTTATCTGACGTGCCACATTCCCTAGGGGCACTCCCCAGATTACAAATGAACTCCATTCCGACATCTGCCTTTCCACTGGATTTGAATCTAAGTCAGAACAATTAGTGTCAGTTTGTATCGAATGTCAGGCAGTCCAATGTTTGTCTCAGTGTGTGGTGACAGTGTACTTTTATGTGCATAGAAAACATTACAGCAACACTTCCAGATACCCAAAAACATCTTTAAATAATAATAGAGTCATAATGATAATGTGTTGATGCTCGATGCAAAATAGCACCCATTTCTTGTACCCTGGATTTTTAATATAAGAGGCTCTACAGAGATTGGGACCATGGGATGTATATACAGTCAAACCCAAGTGGATGTTATATAGCCCATAGGGTGTATGTGAGTGCATGTGTATGTGTGTATGTGTATAACTACATATATAAATTTCAAAAATTTGGTGGTGGGGGAATTCCATTATCTTCTACTTACATTTGTCCAGGAACTTTTTGAAGTCCCCTTGTACATATATGCAGGAGCCCTGATGGCGTAGTGATTACCCACTGGGCTGCTAAACAGGAGGTCCACAGTTCGAAACCACTAGCCACTCTGCAGGAGAAAGATGAGGCTTTCTACTCCCATAAAGAGTTGTCTTTAAAAAATTTTTTTTTAATTAAAAAAAAGAGTTAGTCTTAGAAACTCACAGGGGCAGTTCTACCTTGCCCTAGGGTCACTATGAGTCGGCAGTGAATTCGTTGAGTTAGTATATATATTTTGCATATTTACATATATTTACATAATTTACATATATGTACATTATCGTTGATTGTTTAATTAGAAATCTAGAAATAGAAAATGGATTCTGGGTTGTTCCTCTATGAGAGATTTTAATGAATGGACTTTGTGGCATCTCTTTATTCCTAATCAGATGTTTTCAACTGCTTTTTGAGGTCTTCCCCTTGTAGCAGATGGCAGAGATTGGGCAGTAGGTACATGTGTGGGAGATGGGGCAGCTAGCCTGCTGACAGCACAGCTTAGCATGGGCAAGGCCTACACTGGGCACGTGCAGGCATGATTGCGGGCAGTCCTCACCACACCACAGCCGCAGGAGAGAGGTGACAGCACCCATTTTGCAGAAACAGAAACTGAGGCTCAGAGAGCTGACTTACCCCATGTCATATGAGAAGATGCCCGGCCTGTGGGGGAGGGGGGAGAGTCCTCCCTCTTCTATTCCTCCTCCTGTGACTTGAGGGGGGCGGGTGGGGGGGGGGGCGCGGAGCAGTGCAGGCTGCCAAGTTTGTTAACCCAAACGAACCTGAATCCTTGAGCCATGCATTTTCTCTCACCTGATCAAGCACCAGCTTCTCACAGTCCCAGACTCCGAAGAAAAAAAAAAGATCAGTCATAGATTTTTTTTATATGTAATTTGTCCTCCCAGCAACTTGTACAAAGTTCACTGGCTACATTCCTTTCCCTAAACAAGGGCCTTGTTAATAATTACAAAGAAAAGGCAAAGAATCCAAGAAAACAGCAATTATCTTGATTAATTCATTGAAATGGAAATACGCTAAATGATTCCATTTTCCCCATTGTCCATGTAAATCTCTTATACGTTATTTAGCCAATACAGGAGTTTCTTTGTCAGAGCAGATCTGTGCACTCAATTAGTCCTCAAGGTCACATCCACAGACCCCAAACTGAGAGTTTACAAGCCGCTGTAACGGTTACTCTCAGCCCGCCCTGAAATCTAACCTTGCCTGCCACACCCCTCCCACCCTCTCATTGATGAAATATGCAGCCTTCAGTGGAGGTTTCCTTAAGAAGTTTGTACCATCACATCTTATAAAATGGCTTTTGGAATCTCAGAATAGCAATGTAGAGCTGTGGCCCAGAGTGTCAGTCGTTATTGATTCAATTAGAAGAAGAAGATAAAGATTCAAAACATAAAAGACAGCTCACTTTTTCTTTTTTTGGAGATCCTACTGTGTGCTGAGCTATTTCCCATTGAATCCACAGAGCAACCCCAGGCAGTAGGAATTTAGCATCCACACCTTTCACAGATGAAGAAACTGAGACGTAAACAGCTTAGGTAAAATTACACAGTAAATACACCTCAGAACCAGAATGCAAGCTGTCTTCTTTCATCTATACAGACTGGGTTCTCCGAGAGTCTTTTGTATAATAGAGGATTACGTTGTATAATAGGGATTAAAGTGCTATCTATTCACAGGGATAGTCAGAAGCTCAAAAGTGCAACGAGATAAAATACAAAAAGCCCCATGTCTGACTCACCCTAAGTAGTCAAATAATAGCTTCTGTTGTTTACAAGCAATAGTCGTAGCTGTAACAGTAATTGCAGGAATGCTGGTTTGGCATAACTGTGTCAGCCTGGAAAAGGAGCCCTGATAGCATAGTGGTTACACGTTGGGCTGCCAACTGCAAGGTCAGCCATTTGAAACCACCAGCCCATCCTCTGGAGAAAGATGAGCTTATCTACTCTCATAGAGTTACAGTTCTACCCTGTCCTGCGTCAGAATCGACTCTGTGGCAGTGTGTGAGTGTCAGCATGGAGCAGCTGCAGAAAAACTAGTCAAAGGGATAGACAGGCCTTGTAATGAAGCAAAGCGAATGCATAAGCAAATGTGGTAAAGAAAGCTGATGGTGCCCGGCTATTAAAAGATATAGCATCTGGGATCTTAAAGTCTTGATAAGCAGGTGGCCATCTAGCCCAGGAGCAACAAAGCCAACATGGAAGAAGCACACCAGCCTGTGAGATCATGAGGCGTCAAAGGGATCAGGTATCAGGCATCAAAGACCAAAAA